GAACAAACCTTTTAATACCTATTTAGAAGTACCTGTCGTTTTAGTGACAAAACGTATGTCGCTTCTTGACACACAAATAAAATTAGGTTAGGAATTTCCTATTTGTAGATGAAATTGACGTATTAGCAATCGACGTTCGTTTTTGTTGGTAATTTTTTCTTTTTGTTTCATCTGATTCGTGATTGATAAATAAGGATGGGGTTATTCTAAATGGGTATTACAAATACTATACAGTCGTGAGCATAGAGAAATATAATAGTAGTAAACTACGAGAGACGTTTGTTTAATGTAACAATCTGGAAGTGTGTTTGTGCACATACCCGTAGCGTATTTCGCATGGTGTGGCAGATTATTGAACTAATTACTTCGATCGTTTCTGACAACTCGGTTTAATTTGTCTTTGTCGGCAACTTGCCCGAAAATGTTCTATCTTTTTTTAACACATACAAAATACAAAATTGTCAAAATTTGACAAATTATTGAATCGTCTATGATTGAATCCGAAGACCATCAATCAAAAACTAAATGCTCATCATCATAACTTAAAATTTCTTCTATTATTTATATTAGAGAAATGAGGAAACATTCTGTGATCATAAATATTAATTAATTAGACAAAACCGACACCAATAATAGTGAGTTTTCGAATTTACGATGATGCGAGATGCAGTAAAAAGGTAAACACAAAGCTTATAATACAAACATTTTTAGTTACTGTATATTTATAAAATTGGAATAAAAAAATAAGTTTGTTTAAAGATATATCAATTTTTGTATTGTTCAATTACCTCCTTGACCCCCTTCAGGAATCTCATTGCATCTAATTTGAATTTTTTAAAAATAAGTTCTGTTATCGTTCTAAACAGTTGCTCGGTAAATTTTAGCAAGTTTTTTCAACAAATGTTTTGCTTTGCAATTAACTGTTTTGAGCGTTTACAGTACTTTATGTACGACTGATCAATAAAGTGCTATTTATAGAACAGTTTTGTATCAATAAAGTAGCACTTTATTGTACTAGTAAAATAAAGTGCTACTTTATTGCCTACCTGGTCTACCTGACAAGGTAAAACAGGTCCTGACAACCTGCCAAGGTGAAACAGGTCCTGACAACCTGCCAAGGTGAAACAGGTATACCTACGCAAATTTTACTTTTTTCATTAGATTTTTTTAATTTTTAACAAAAACCAGTCGTAATCGTACATAAAATCATGTATATAACGCTCACATAAACAGGTTTTATTCACCACTTATTTAATAGCCTCGCTCGCAAGCTCGCTCGGCCATAAAATTATTCGTACAATAAAGCCTTACTTTATTTACTTGTTATATAAATAGCTATTATTTTTAATAAATCTTAAATAAAATCAAAGTTAATAATTTAATTATTCAAAAAAGCCGCCTTTTCACTGTCGGTAAAGAAGAAACCTGCATTTAAACAATGTTCACTCCTTTATTGCTGTCCGTAGCCACCAGAGGCGCTAACGTCGACATTGTGCCAGTTAAGTACAGGGGAATGACTTCTCTCGTAGTTTACTACTATTATATTTCTCTATGGTCGTGAGCATAAAAAGTGGGACACCCGTTTTTTCCTATTGTAAAACGAGCTCATCAGGTATACCTTCGGCACTGACAGGGATTGTCATATTTGACAAAAAATCTATTGTAGAGAAAAGACTGATTTACCCAAAATTAGCGGAAAATGACAAGTCCTGTCAGTCGGGTGTCCCACTTTTTATGCTCGACTGTACCTTTCCAATCAGGCAGGCCTATTCTCTATGAACAGCAATTACATAGCAACCAGCAACCGGTCGCAAGTTGCTTTTTATGAATAGAAAACTCGCGTGACAGCGACAATTTCGCAATTATCTGCGGTCGCAAGTTACAGAATATTGCAAATTGAAAAAAAAAAATATTTAAACATAAAAAAAATTAAATAATTGGAAAATAATCATAAGATAATATAGTAAAATAGATAATAACAGCAAGAGTAAATTAAAATGCTCGTTACAAACTGCTTTTCTGGCAGTAGCAATAAACAGGCAAGAATAAAAACAAATGCAGGAAAATTTGAATCAGATAAAAAAAATTAAGAAACTAAATCTCTAGATTTTCCCCCAAAAAGACAAAATTTTCCTTTTAAGTTAAGGTAGCTCTTATAGGTACTACAAGATAAACCGGAGGGTGAAATCAATCAAATCCAGAATATGTCAAAATTTCTTGGGATGTTTTAATCAAAACTTTTTAAATGAATTTTAGACCTCTATGGATTTCTATTTTAAAAAATTACACCCTTTTTTAACACTCTTCTTCTCGAGAAGATAATAATTGACGCATTGAAACAGAAAATAGCTATACAGGCCTCTGCCTGGATTCCATAAAGAGTTGATAGGGATGGACACATAAATTTGGTTTTCACCGACTCTACTTAGAGCAAATGGTCCAATAATTTCACACTAACAATTGATTCTGAAAACCAGAGCAGCAGTACCTATTTATTAGCCCAGAAATCTGAATTGACTTACCTCAGAAAAACGTGGAACCACCAATCACACACAAAATGGAGGTCCATAATTAGATAAAAAATTACAATATAATATTTATATTTCAAAAGAAGATAAGATAAGATTTATCAGGTAAATACTCAACAGTGATATGGTAGTACGCACTGATGGCAAAATAAATTGAAAAATTATAAAGGAGAATCTAAAAATAGGAAGGAAAAATTATAAAAATGAAATGACTTGCCTGCTAGAGCACTGCCAGAGAAAGAGACCGTTTTAGAAACCAAACCCTATAGGAAACCAATCTGGTGTTTTTTTATACTCAACTGCGTATTAACCAGATCAACCAATCAGAAAACTACACACAAAAGACAGTATTCACTTCACAATGAAATACCACGTGGATTAAAAGAGAATAGATAAAAATCCACTAGAATTATTTTAATTGTTTACAAATTACAATAATTTAAATTAAGGTTATGCTGAAAACAAAAGACCGCTAATTAATTAGGTCATTAGGCCAAAAATAATAATTTCAGAATCAGAAGTCAGAGAAAGACAGAAATATATCCATTTGCTAAAAGTGAGATAAATATAAATTCTTTCAATGAAAATACAAATGACTGTCAAATGCGAAATAATTAAAATCATACTTTGAAAAATAAATCTATCAGGTACTACTAGATGGCCGTAGGTAACTTCTTTCTTTTTTTAATAATAGCAGATATTTGTATTTTATGCACATGATGGATAGATGGCAGTACTAATATTATATTGAACTTTGTAGATACTTTTAGATTATTCAAATTATGAATTACTATTTTGCTGAGTCTGAAATGGCAAAAATACAAATTTATAATGAAAATTAGAAGAGATGGAACATGTTACGTAAATGATAAATTTATCGTAACAAATGACCTAGGCATAGCATATCCGATAAATTAACATTCGTTAAAGCTGCATTATCTTGAGTTGTCTGCGAAGTACAACTACAGATCATCAGAAAACATCGACGCCAATATGGCAACATGGGATTACGACGGGGATATTTGCTTTGCTTGCCAACTTATCCACAGTTTCAACACAGCAACAAAAAAATAATTCAGTAACAACGAGCTAGACAATAAGGAAACTATATTTTCCTACAACTGCTTTTGAAAATGGAGTTTTTCGCACGCTAGGCAACCTCTGAAAATTAAGTTTTGAAAACGACTTTTTTCACACTCGCTCGACTTGTGGAACTCGCTTACGGCTCGGTCCAACAAACTGTTTCGCCGTGCGAGAAAAGTCGTTTTCAAAACTTGTTGTTTAAATAACTATTAATAAATCCTCACCAACCATCAGTCAGATAATCAGATCATCTTCTGACTGCACGCACCATTCACTATTTAAAGAAACTGGACATTTTCTCAACTGCTGTTGTAAATATTGCTCTTCATGCATTTGTTTATACATATGGGCCTGGGACGAATCAAAATATCACTGGAGAAAAAATGAACTGCTACTCCCGAGCAGTCACTGTTTAGATCTTAGCCAACATCTGTTTTCCAAGATGGTATATAAAGGAATAGATAAACTTTGGAAATATTTAAAAAGCAAAGTGCTGATTGAAAAGATGTATGATTTAACCAATAACCACATTGAAATAGTCAGAAGGGCTGGTCATCTACGACTATCTTAGACCAACTCTCATGCCTTGAAGCAGGCGTAGTAGAGGCAACCTAAGACTAAGATGGAAAGATGCCGTAGGTATTTTGGCTCAAACAGTGCAGTAGTACGATGATAATAAGTCCGAAACCGGGTAAATTTCAGACTCAGCTTCCTTTTTTTTTCTGCTTGCCTGAAATTCCTAGATACCTATACTTTTCCTCGTGGGATTGTTTGCCAATTGACTATTAAAGTAATTTCTCGTTGGTGGAATTGCCCTGATTTCCCACAAAATAGCTTGAAATTGTGAACAAAAAGGAATAATTAATCGATTACTGGATTACTTCTGAAAAAAGTGATCAGTCGCGATTCTTCTTTACAACAATTTGTAATCTATATCATTTACAGTAATCCATTACTTCTCAGTTTTGCTGAACATGTTTTTTTTTTCACTTTTCCTCCCTATAAAAGGGAAGAATTTGGCTGACTTGATGCGTAATTACTTCTCCAGTCTATATTCGGCACTCGGTTGAATGCTTGAATCACGAGAGGGAATATATCTTTCAGTTACTTGATTCTCCGAACGAGGGTGCGGCGTTCTCATGAGAACACATCTATCATTGTCACTCATATTGATGTTGTGCATAGAATTAAGATGGGCAAGGTAATAATTATTGTTCTCCTAAGAACGCGCCTGCTACCCCACTTTCGGGAATTAGGCGCCAGACTATATATTCCTTTCAGTTTGGATCTATCGACGTTCTATCTGATGTTTTTAAAGGCCCGTTTAATGTAAAATGATAGAAGCATGCTGTATATTTCATTATTTTATTCCTAATGTTTTATTTCCAGCTGACAATTTCAGGCCCTACCTAACTTCATTCCAAGGAAACAATTTTACTGATTACATCAATGCCGTATTTGTTGACGTAAGTATTACGATTTCTATAAATTTCTCAAATTAAGCCGCAAATTCTTGTAAAAATATTGAGGATTGAGTAATAATAAGTAAAAATCAAGACTTTTCGTAACAATTTATAGAGGCATTAATTTCGAAAGCTGCTTTACTCTATTAAAACTAATAACCCATTAAATAATCTTTCCAGCACAAAACACCACTCAGCTTTTATTATCTATAATGTTAAGGATTAATTAAGAGTTGACGGTTCATAAAAGTATTGTTTTGCTCGTTTTAGGGATATACTAAACCAAGGGAATACATAGTGACGGAATGGCCGATAAAATCGACCCTTGGAGAATTTTGGTCGTTGGTTTATGATTACGAGTGTTCAGCGGTTGTGGTTTTGTGTATTCCTCCTCAGAATTCGGTAAGATATGACACATACCTTTACAGACACCACATATGATACACATTTTTTATATTTTAGCAACAGTTTCCATCTTTTTGGCCCGAAGGTCGTAATCCTAAAAAATACGGACCTGTCTTCACGATAGACCATATATCGCATAATCACTATTCCAAAATCAAAACTTGGGTATTCAGGATAAACAAAAAAGTTATATCTCTTACTGAACTTATGGCCGGTGTGAAGGCGCCTCCGAAAACAGTGCAACTGTTTCAGCTGATGTGTTGGCCAATGGGTCACAAAGTACCAACATCCACTAACTCTCTTGTGGAATTAATGAATATGGTTGAAAAATGGAGACAGCGGAGTGAATATGGACCTGTTTGTATTGTGTCTCCGTACGTATCATCATTAAACAGACTAGATTAGTAGATTAATTCACACCAGATTTCGCAATAGGCTTGTAATTTATATGGCACCAGTAACTTTTCTTAAATATTCTGAACCTTTGTTATGACGTTCCAAAAATCTGAAAACAATTTATAGGCAAAATATCGCTTGCTAGTATTGTGAACCAGTAAATTCATCATTTTATTAATGACAATTATGTTCATCATGTTCACTACATTTCCTCTCTTTAAGAAATTCCACCACCTGTTTGGTTTGGTCCCTCATCAATTAGGTACTTTAGAACATATTGCTTATTTAGGTTTTAAAGATGCGCCGAATGGAATTATTATTACAACCAATGTCCTGTTATAATACACTAAGGCCCAATTTAATCATCTTCAGATAAACTTGCTGGTGACTATCTGGAAGATAAATTTACCATTTTATAGTTCTATTGGTCAGCGGATAACTGGTTTTGCAAGGTCCATCGAATTTGTTGTTATTTCAAAAACCCAGGATGAATAAAAAAACATTAGCTTAAATTGGGCCGTCACTCAACACTGGTATTTAGTAATACCAACATGAGAAAACGTATGAAATCAAAACCATATGAATGCTGCCAACCCATTAATTCTGAAATAGTTGAAGATATTGTTATAGGATGGTGAATTTCTTCAGCACCATATATGGCAAAAATGACAAATTTTTTAGCATTTTTAATATAGACAACGACAGAACAAATTAAAGTAAAACAACATGCATTATTAATGAATTCCTAATACTCTGGGTAAATTAAACTTTCGCATCTGGTGTGGATTAATTTGGGTCAGAATCTGATAATTCGAAAACTGAATTGACACCTAATTTTTCAATTTAGGGATGGCAGAAGTCGCTGTGGAATTTACTGTTCAGCAAATGCCTGTATAGAACAAGTAATCCAGCACGGCGAAGTGGATATTTTTCAGGCAGTTAGAACTGTGAGAAGACACCGGCCGCAATTGATAGAGAATATTGTAAGTATGCACATTTTTTTCGAATTTAAGTTTTGAATACATACCTCCATATCTATTTTTTTAGACTGAATATAAATATTGTTACGATGTCGTCCTCCATTACGTCCTCCACTATCTTCAAAAAGATTTAGAAGAATTGAAGGGAACTAAAAAATAAATAATTTTAAGGAAGCTTTTCTATTATGTGTACAATCAATGGAAAAAATGCATGGGATTTTTTTTGTATTAGGTATTAAATCAAAGAGATTTGTAAACAAAGTATGCGACTTTCTGAATATTTATATGTACTGTTTCTCTAGTTTGATATGTAAAACGAGCTACAATATATTGCTCATACCTTTTCGTGAAAGTATGTAATGAAATAAGTACCCAAATATATTTATGAAATCACAACAATTTTGGTAGTCCAAAGCAAACTTTGTCCAAAGCAACCAAATCTTTGAGGCCAAACAGATCTGTGAGTTTTCTATAATTAAAAAGTGACCTATTTTTCTGTGCTATACGTACGTTACTTACATGTGTATATTATATTAATTATTAATGCCTATATTTTTATTACTTTGTTGTTTATTTTAGGTGTATTCCTGTGAACGTCTTTATATAAATTATATGTTACAGGAAACTGCTTGCTAAAATAGTTTTATTTCTTCCACCTCCTATTTTTATTCTCTTCCATTGCCTCGACTATAAAATTTGTCTACCTAAGTAGCAAGGGCATGCGGGCATGCCTCTAACAATAAGGTAGAGCAGGCGCTGTTGAGTAGAGTTGAGTAGCTATGCAAAATGTGAGGACCGGCAAAAATGCTCAAATTCGTATTCCTGTGATCTTAAAGAATGGGAAAGTACATCTTGCCGACAGCTAGAGTGATCCCTCATTCTTCTCCCATCCCCCAATGCCAAATTATTGGAAATATCACAATTTCATGTAATTTCACAATTCCTATTGATTGTTCCTGAGGCTCTCTTTTCAAGCACTCAAAATAAATTACCTACCACTTGTTCTAAAGAAGACTGCGAGATGTACAGGGTCATCCAACGACGACTGAACAGGGGCTTATTTTTCACTTTTCCAGTCCCTGTATTTTTGAATAAATTCATAATAGCCAACTGGCTGGAAAGTTCAAAAATGATACCAAAAAATCATTTGAACCAAAAACCAAAGAGTTAAGCCATGGATGAACATGAATGAAATACAAAATATGTCAAAATGGAGGATTCGACGATTCAACAAAATGTTCCAAGCTAAAAGAGTCTTCATTCTGTGAGGTACCTACCTGAATTAAAATCAAACCACTTATAGAAGCTGATTCAAGAATGTTTTATCACATATTTCATGCTGTAGGAATTCAAGCTGCACAGGTTATTATCCTTAGTGCTGATCTATGTGTATTGTCCTGTTGTATTGTGTGGGGTAATTTTGAAACTTTACGATTATAAAATATGTTGATTACCTACTGACTAATTCATCTGTAAAACAAAAAGTACAAAAAAATAATAATGGATAATGGAATTGTGTGTGATTAAATAGAGCGCTTATCAGGATGTCGCTCGAGATGACACATTCGGAATTAAAAGAAAAACTAACTAAGTAACCAATTCGCCAGAAAATATCACCATAGTTTAAATATTATATTGACAGGAGTTATTGTAAATAAACAAGCCTTATGGGTCATAGGTATCAAAAGAAAACGCACGGAATACCTCTCCAGACAAGGCCTATCTTCTGTATCCTCGATATTAAGGGAAACGCACGAAATACCTCCCCAGCAATATAATAGCTAGCATAGAGTATCTGCCATGGTAAACAGTGCATTTATAGGCCTTCACTAGGATACTAAGGGAAAACACGCGAAGTATCCCCTTCATATACAACTAGCATAGTGTAAAAGCTATGCTCGCAGATTACGCTTGTCCAACTCGGCTTGGTTGAGCAGCGGGACGATTGTATCGTTTTCTGTCAAAGAGCAGCCTCACTCTCTGCATTGGCCAAGAAGGCTTGGGCACAGGAAACGATTTGAGTAAAACACCTTTTGAAGCTAGATGAATACTGATTTATTTCGAATCTTACATCCCTTTTTATATTGAATTTTGCTAAACCAATCGTGATAAAAACTGCAAAAATATAAAACACTGTAACCGTAATTACTTAAATGCATGCTGGAATGCAACTTACGATGTTTGGATATTTTTATAATACCCAAACATTGTGACTAACTAAAATCTCATATAGCAAGCTGACCGTGATATTGAATAAAATATAAATATACGAAGTCGGTCAAATTACGCCGGCGAAGGTTAATCACTGTTTAATTGTTCTAATTAAACATTCTGCCACCTCTCCAGAATCGAAGAATGCAGAGACATTAGCTCTGTCTTCTTTTTGGCCTTGGTGTTGGTCTCTTGTCTGTTTTTTACGTCTTCTGTTGATAAGTTTTGTTGTTTGCCATCCTGCAATCACTAGTATAATGATGACTATGGTGGTGATGCTGCTAGTGGCTGCGGAGTGGTGATGAATACTGCGTCATACTTTGTTATGTATGGTCGATCACCGAGGTCCTCTTCTTCTCTTACTAGGTCTCCAAAACTATTGGATTCTCTAAACACGGTCTCGGTGGCTATATCTGACGGTGGATGTTTGTGGAGAGTACCATTGAAGATTATGGGTACAGCTTTTACATAGCTGCCTACCACTGGAACGATTGCGCTTCTCATGGGAGTGGGAGTTGAATGTTCTGTTTTGTTTGGATGGTGCAGTCTTGAGAAATTTTAATTATTCTAGTTGTATTATACATCTTCCCGCTCGCCGTTGCATATAACCGCTATTGTTGTAGACGAACCTGCGATGAACATCCATTTATTCGTTGTACATAGTCGTTTCTGGAAATGTGTGTAGTTTGTTCGTGAGCTTCTGTTCGTTGAACTTTGTTAGGGCCGAGATCATGAACTTTGTTTGGTAGTTCGATGCTCTGATGAGTTCTTCCTGATTGTTGTTCATTGCCTCGATATCTTGATATACTTCGTCATTCACTCCAAAAACCGCAGTAAAAAAAATTCCAAACACTCCTCTCTTAGTTCTGTGGTGAATGTCGGCCATGGTATATCATTTGGAGTGATTTTCCATTTCTTCTAAGTGTTGTACAAGGGATGTGCATTTGACTTCATCGGTGAGCTTCTTGGATTCGTTGCACATATTTTTGAATTGTCTGACGACTGTGGATACCTCTGATAATTCCGTTTTTTGTTCTTAGGATACGTTGTCTCTATCCTAAAAATCCCTCTATTAATTTTTGCTGATCCAATGTGTTCAATGTAAAAATCATGTTGTGGATAGCTGATTTTAAACCTTGTTTCTGCAGCGGCGGTTGTAATCATCATAATTATGGCTGCTAGGAAAAACAATACATAGAATTTTGCTGATGTTGATGGTACGTTCCGTAGTCGGTCTGATCTCCGTACCTCTGAGTGGTTTTGGGTGGTTGGTAAATGATGTATGTCTTCTGTCGGTAATGGAATTAACTTGTGGATCGGTCTTTTTTGTGGTGAGCCACCTGCTTTCTTTATTGTTACCACTTGGATTGCTCCATCTTGTAACTGGTGAGTTTCTATAATTCTCCCCAAAGGCCATTGGTTTGGGTTTATATTTTCTTCTTTGATTAGGGCCATTGTTCCTACTCGTAGATTGTTGGTCTAATTCTTCCATTTATATCTTTGCTGCAGTCTGGTGAGGTATTCTGTGCACCATGCGCTCCAAATGTTTTTCTTTACCTTTTGCACGTGTCTCCATCGTTGAGATAGGTTAAAATGTTCTGTCGATTCCAAGTTTGGTGGTGCTAGAAGTTCACTTCCTATTAGAAAGTGTCTTGGGGTCAAGATATTGAAATCATTTGTGTCTTCTGTTAGCGGGTAGAGTGATCTTGAGTTCAAAGATGCTTCGATTTGATACACCAACGTTGTTAATTCTTCATAGGTCAAAGTGCTGTCCCCAATTACTCTCTTGAGATGGTGCTTCATAGATTTTACACCTGCCTCCCATATTCCTCCGAAATGTGGGGCTGCTGGTGAAATGAAGTGCCATTGTGTTCCTAAGTTGACGATTTTGTTTCGAACAGATTGTGATTGTATCAATTTTGTGATTTCATCTTCGAATAGGCGTGCTGCTCCAACAAATGTAGGTCCGTTATCACTGTACATATTCGCACAATGTCCCCTTCTGGCTGTGAAACGTCGAAGTGCTGCCAAGAATGCTTTTGTTGCTAGGCATACGAATACTGCGATGTACCCTTTGTACGATTTGTGACCTCTTCCTTTTGTTGCTCTGACTTGAATCGGTCCGGCAGAGTCCATTCCTGAGTTTGTAAATGGTGGTGCTGGTGCTACTCTCGATTTCGGAAGTTGTCCCATGAGTTGCTGTGCGGTCTCGGCTTTGTGACGGGTGCATACAATGCACTTATTTATAACTGCTTTGACGGCCCGCTTACCGTTGATGATCCAGAATCTGCTTCGTATGTACGACAATGTCGCTTGGTTGATTCCATGTAGCGTGGTTTTGTGTGCGTTTCTCACCATCAGCGTAGATATGTGAGAATGGTATGGAAGAATCATCGGGTGTCGTTGGTCGTAGGGAAGAGGTGAGTGTTCGAGTCTTCCTCCGACTCGGATTATGCCCTTGCTATCGAGAAATGGGTTGAAGGTCAGTAGCTTACTTTTCTTGTCGACTTCGTTCTGCTGTTGTAAACACTTGTATTCTTCAGTAAACTCTTGCTGTTGGACTATTTTTATGAGTCTTTCGGAAGTGTTTTCAACTTCTTCAACGGATAAAGTAAGACTTTCCCCTTTTTTGATGAATCGACGGCAGTAGGATAATACCTTGAGCATCCTTGTCAAATTTGAGAAGCGTTCCCATATATCGCTCCTTATCGTAACTTCAATGTTGTGACATGTGGCTTTTACTTCTTCTTGAATGTCGGGAATATTGTCTGTTGTGGGGATTTCATGGAGAAACGTCAGCCAATGAAGACCTTTCCACCACAGATCAGCTGATTGTAGTTTGTCTGGGTCCAATCCCCTGGATATGATGTCTGCGGGGTTTTCTTGGGACTTGACGTGGTTCCAGGGGCCGGGCCGTATTCTTGATTTCTGGGAGGAGAACTTGCTCGGGAAGTGAGCAAGGTTCACCTCAAAACGGTACATGTCATATTCTTGAAAATGGGGCTGTGAAGTGAAAGTTCCCGGGAATTCTGAAGTTCCCATCCTCTCACCCAAGAGAAAACGAGTTCCCGCCAGGGTTTCTAACCTCAAAACTTGACGTTGTTTTCAAACTTGACGTTGTTTTTGTATTCTCCTTTCAAGTTCACCAAGTTCACGGCTTTTTCGTTTTTATGTGTGTCATTTTTATGACTGTGGATTATTTTAATGAGATTATCTTGAATACAGAACATAATCCAAGAAGACATGGGAAATGCTGCGGAAGCGAAAGAAATAGGATGGGATGTTCTGCGTCGGAGAATTCTTTTTCCCTTGATCAGAAATGCATGAAATTTTTAGGAGTGAGCAAAAATGTATGCCACGAAATAGTGGACATGGTTACTCCGTATGTTACCGCTTCAATGCAAATCTCGGCTTCAACCAAAACT